GGGTCATACAACTTTGAACTCTGATTCCTCCTCAGAAAACATAACCCATCTAATGTTTCGAGCTGGCAAAAATAAACATGAATGCTTTCAGAATGACAGCTCTTCTACACTATCCCGAGCAGGCTCTACTGCTCCATTTTCAATTTAACATGTGTTAATACCACTTGGCAACGGGAAGATTCAGCTATATATAGTTCCATCAAGGCTCTCAACAGTTGAGTTCCACAGTCAAATCTACCAGCAGACAAATATACTGGCTTTAATTGGCACTGCTAAGATTCCCACTCAGCTGTTGCTGAAAAATGCTATTGATACTTTTATAAAAGCACGTTTTCAAGTATATGGAAGTGCCCTGAAGTGCAGTTGTTTTCTGCCTCTCCTCTGGACAGATAACTCTGTGAAATGAATCTCAGACAAAAGTGAAATAGAGAGGCCGGTGATTATGTTTCAGCAGAGCACTTCAACACATGCTTAAAATAAAACTTTGAAGTAAGTTCAAAACTTCACAAACTCCACCAAGTCAGAATTCTGAACTGGGGTTTACTCTTTTAATCCAAGTCCCTGTGAACACACTGGAGGAAAAAAATCCCTTCATTTTAACACACAGTGTAAACAATCTCTTTTGAACTTTAATCATGACCAAATAGCAGTCAAGACTCCAAGGAATTTATCCTGTTTCTGCTAAAAAGTCTGGTTTTACCAATAAAACAGATCATGAAAAGACACAAGGCACTACATATATCATAAGGCAAATCACACTGTATTTAAAAATGCATCTAAACACACATTCCTCTACTATTTCCTATGCTCTTCTCCCCTTTCTGTTTCCTCAAATTTAGAATATTTAGAAAGATTTTCAGACTTAGGCTTCCAAGAAACAAAAAAACCCACCAACCCTGTAATGAGGAAAATACTAATGGGTTTTCAAAAATCAACACTTTAAGGGTCAGTAAATAAAACTACATCATGAAATGGTGCTTTAAACACAGATGTTCCACTAGGAGGAAGATTGTGTTCTGTAATCCTGAAAATGAGGCCTTCACTCATGCTCAAGGACCATTATAAGAACAGTAGTGTTCCTCTTTGCTCAAAAAAGAGTTCCATAAAGATGCATGGAACAAAAAACCAGAATTAAACAGCGTAGAAGTTCCTTTAGAGTTATGAAACTGTAAACAAATACATTCTCTCGTAGCTCACAGAGCCAAACACAGTCAGTTGTTACTGCAGCAATTAATTTTTAATGCTGAAATGACTACCTGCTTTGTGATATGTCACGTGGTCACTGGCAATACTAAAATATTTAACAAGAAGCATTGATACCATCCACAAGTTTGTTTTATACGAACTCTGCATGCTAATCCCCAGGTCTTTTTGTTCTGCTTTTAAGGCCAAAGAATTTACAATCATAAAGCCATATAAAACACTTCAGACACGCTCTTCGAGGCAGAACTTTTTAATACAATTCTTAAGTAGTTAAAAGCCTATAATTAATAGTTTTTTATTTAGGTTTGTCAAAAGATTTGTGCAACTGCAGCAAACTATAAAATCCTCATTCTATAGTACACAGTAACAACCTTTCTAAATTCAGTGCTAATTTTGTCAAACCTGTTTCGTCTCTTTCAGAGCAGTGACAGCACAGTTACTGTGCCCAGTTATATTACAAACTCAGGAACCTGGTATGTTCATAGATCCCAGACCACGGACACAATAAAAGGAGCCTTTCCAAAAAGCACACCTTTAGTTTCACAAATGGTGTGCCTCTTCCTTAGAGAAAAATAAATCACCCATGGTTCAAGAAAAAGAATAAAGGAGATGTTCTCAAAAGGGCAAGTAAACAAGGCAGTATCAGGTATAAAGCATGATGTCAAATATCTGAATTTTCCCACAGATTTGGTATTCACACCTAGAGCAGACAGACCAAAGAGTATAACAGCTACCATTGGTTAAAAAAAGTAAATAATCCAATTGATCAAACCATCAAACATAATTTGGTGGTATTTCATGTCTGATAAATTCCATAGCTTGCTGCTATGGAACCGAACGAAGGTGAGATCAGCTCTAGCATCCATAATCATCACAGAAACTTCCTGACTAATCAGTAATTCCATATTCTGCTCAAACCCAAATGCTGTTAAATGCTGGTGTTTGATACTATCCAGCAATAATGAGTCTCAAGTCATCTTTCTGACTTCCCTTTCTGTGGTTTCCCATAAAAGCAATATGGGGCAGTAGCAAAACACATACTCAAATTATTTCCATAAGGCACATCATTTGTATTCTTCACTAACAATGGTAGCTGCAACAATTTTTTTAATAATATATTTAATTACACATTTAAGTGAAGAAGAATCATAAAATAACACTCTCTTCTTGAATGAAGCATGCTTATCTGCTTTTAAAATAAACATCAGATTGCTTTTTTTCTCTTTAGTTTCCACTGCATGCCTAACCAGTATAAACTGGGAATATTTTTGACACCTATTTATGCAAAATGTTAGAAACAAAGCAATTGCTGTAGTCTCTAAAGCTATTCAGTTACATGCTAGAGCAGCCCTCTAGCTTCAAAGGAAGGTCCATGGACCTCCAAAGAAAACAGATGTGGAATTAATCACCCACAAAAAAAAAAACAAAGGCCCTCTCCAACCTGCAATAGCTCTAAAAAAAAAAAGCTCAAAGGCATCAGTACTCCACGAGTACATACAAAAGCTAAAGCACCCACGTGTGTGAGGGGATGTGTGTAAAACAGGGGAACACACATCCACAGAAGAGGCTGTTCAGGCTTGTAACCAACACCAGCTGTGAGAGAGGAAATGTGTAACTGTGAATGTGCGTGCGCCTGTCTGTGGCATTTTAACTTTCTGGAATTAGTTTTAGGGCTGCATTTAGAAATTTGTAGGTGTTCCTTAACATTTCTTAAGCATCTAGCATCATGGTTTATCTAATGTATTGCTGATGTTGGTCCTAAATATATAGTTCCCTGATTTCTAGTTAATTATGCTTTTAATAAATCGTCAAACTGTTTCCATCCTGATGTGTTTAAACCATGGGAACTGAGTGAGGTTTACTTAATGCCACTTCTGCATTTCACAGAGTAATGATTACCAAACTCCATTTGAGGCTTCCAATGTGAATGGATTCATGGAGACAGAGAGTTCTCATTCTCTACAGCTTACTACCTCAACTGTCCTTATCCACATATTAAGTGTCATGTTTCATAGCTCTGGGTTGGAATGAAAGAAATTTCAGTATGGGACATAACTATGGAATACATATTCCATTTCACTGAACTGACCTAAATTTTACCAGATTTCTTCCCAATTTCCAACTGGAACTGTAGCTTGTCAGTGGAGAAAGCTCTCCCAAATTCAAAGGAAGTTATGTGCACGCTTACAAATTATCTGCACTTAAAAAAATATGAGAAAGGTCTACAAATACACAGATTACTATCCATTTTCAAATAACAGACACAGCAGCTGTGCCCTACCCTCCCTTGACACGGAGCATGGCAAAATATTTTAAAAACAGTGATCTCTACATAGTCCACTAGAGATACTCTATGCCATCAACTTCCCCTGTTCTGTTGGCCTTGAATCCAGACTCCTCAGTTGCTTTATCAAACAAATACTACTCTTTTTTCAGCAGACAAGGCTTTTAGGACATCAGCAAGTCTAAAAGGCAGAAGTCTGTGGCTTCTTTTTTGGCTGGTTACCCATGAAACAGAAGAGACACACATATATAGTTAATATGAGAAGTCAAAGCATAAAAGGGTACCTACGTTGCAGGGCTGCAAGGTGAGCTTAACATTTCTACACCAGAAGACAAAGCCAGATTACCAGATTCAAACTCTTCAACTTGGTGGTCTAGGGCTAACTTTATTGTGAACAACTCTGAAAATTTATGTCTTTTATGCATTAAAAACATCTTTTAGCTATTGTAAAGACTTCAATAAACATTAACATTTCTGCTTAGGCAGGAATTCAGTAAGAGCTGGCCTAAGGATATCTAAATCCAAAAGCTAATACTATAAATCCAAATCAAACATTGCCTTCACTTTTTGTTTTCAAACCTGGTACCAAATTCTCATTCCTTTCTCTCATATGGACCCAAACAGGATTTTCCAGCCACAGACCTGCACTCTGTGAAGAATGCCAACAAACCAGCAGCTAACAAGTTCAAACAAAAGCAACTACATTTCCAACAACATAGGTTACAATTGACACACGGCAGCTACGGCAGAAGATAAACACTAAAACATAAGCCACAGGACAAATTACATAAAAGGTCACATCCATTGACAAAACCAGAAGAAAATCCATTCACCTAGAAAACTTTTCTGATGTTGAGACAGTGACAAGTAGCTTTTACACATGAGGAACATCACCATTCACCTGCAGTGTCAGGCTTGGTGTTGTGGCAGGACCTGCTGTTTCTATTCCTTTATATCCATAATGTCCCTCTTCTTTTGAGGTCTGTCTGAAGATCTGCTCCTCACCTGGTAAGCCTCAGCCTTTCCCAGTACAGCCCACTGTTTACTCCCCATCTATCCCAATATGAATGTCTCACCTGCAGAATCAAGAGCATTCCAGGATTTACCACCTCTGCCTGGTGCATAAGATACTTTGGAGATTAGTAATACCATTAGTTAAGGGAAATGACAGGAGAATCATCCAGTCTGAATTTGTTCCTTCAACAGACAATGACACTGCATTCCAAACTGATACTTTAAAAATTAAAAGTTTTCTAATGATTTATAAATTTGTTATCTCCAGCAAAGAATGAACCAAAGTAAACCAAACCAAAAATAACCCATGGAAAAGGCAACTTTTGTTGTAGTTAATTTTTACCATCCTTTCCCTCACCAGGGACAAAATAAGGTATTTTATCAACTTCTCATCTGCATTGCTCTGATAATCAGCACATAAAGCAGTAATATGAAAATACTTGAACCAATCCATTGTTTCCGTTGCAAACAAAATGGAAAAGCTCAAATAGCTACTCACCAGATTCTCCTCGAACCACTCCCGCAGACACACTGCTGTGGCCCCTGGAATTTGATTTCTCAATGCCTCTTTCTCCTGAGGATCCTCCAGCATTTCCAATGCCATCTTTAGATCTTCCAGGAGATGCAGAATTTGAAATGTGCCCAAGTACACTGACGGAGCAGGTGACACAATATCATAACCACCATTAGCATACTCTGTAGCTGACTTTGTACCTAAAACAAATAAAAAAAGGAGAGACAATAACGTTATATAATTGTTTTCTGGGTGACAAATACATAGATACTACGCACTACAACTTTTGGGCTTCAGATGCTCACTGACAAATACCAGTATTTCAGGCTTAGAAACACTTGCTTTAGTCTCCAGATAAATCAGGAGCACTGGAGAATTAAATGTGAAAGGGATGTACGAGCATATTAAAAAAGAAATTTGACCTAGAAAACATTTGTAATGTTTGTTAAGGCCAAATCCTTTCTCTCAAGTCACCTGTAATTTTCCACGGTTGCCATGAGATGTCACTAACTTCTCAGCTACACAGAAGTCCCTACACAGAGCAGTGTTAAGCAATGTAAGAATAACTGATGCAGTCCTTTGAGAAGAAACTTAGATCAAAATAGATCATGTTACCAGATCTAGGAAAATATATGACTGTGGGCAGGTTTAAAACTCCCACAAAGAACAACCCACGAGAAGTTAGCAATAAAAATGGCACATAAAACTTTGCTAGCTCTCTAAATTACAAAAAGATCTCTAAATTACAACACCTTCCTCCTGCCAGCCCTCTAGCACCAATATTATTTTCTCGACACCATTAAGTACAGTAAAAAACACATTTCACTTATGGAAGGATTATAAATAATACAAATTCTAATATCTCTAAACCTTTTTGTCTTAGTACCTTGTGTTTCAATGAGATGCACACTAAAGTAAACTCTCTTTTCTCGGTCCTGAATTTCAGACCTTGGTATCATTTAATATCCCTTTGTTTCTTTAAGAACTAGTCAGGTGGAAAACTATCTCCTTTACTTTTTAAAGTTTTTATTTACAATTCATTGCCTCATGTACGTAATAGGTTGTACAGATGTCTTCATGTTCTCTCTGGCATAAGCCATCCCATTTCCCCCTTTTATTTACCTTAATGGATTTTTTTTAGGTTTTTGATCATTCATACTTCACTGGATCCATATAGTGTTCATTAGAAGACTACATAATTGATGAACACAAGGGTATAATAATAATCTCCTTACTATGTTCTTCACTTTACCTCTGTGTTTAACATAATTTACATCTTAGTTATGAAAGGAACAAAAATCTTCACTGGGCCTTTGAAAATTACTTGCTAACCTTTTTTTTCCCCCCCCGAGCTGACAGATCCAATGGGATGCATAAACGTGTAAGGAATTCAAGTTTTCTTCTCGAATGCACACTACTTTGCATTAATCAATGTTAGTTTGCCTGCTACAGTCATTTATCTACCATGATTCAGACACTACAAACTATGTTTGGACCCAATGTTTCATTACACATAGCCTGAAACACAACTCATGAATACACTGACACTCTGGGTCCTAATACCCTGAAATGCCTTCTGCACGCACATTAGCTTTTAACCAAAATGCCAATTGATCATTTAATACTAATGTTATTCCCCGTGTCACTCAGTTTTTGAACAAAGGCAATATTTTGGCTCTCATTTTGTGAATGCTTAACTCTACGCAAAGTTTGGGGAAAATTTAAATAGTATTAACCAGGTTATCTTCAACCGCTGTTTTAATGACACAAAGCATTCTGTCAGATATTTGCAAAAAATTGTGTGGCTTGAATTCTGCTGACCAATGAGCGTGGGGGTTTTTTTGACTGTTTTAAACAATGTAAAACCAACCATCCCTAGAAATTTCTGAAGTTTTGCAAGGCTCAGTAGCAAGGTTTTAAACTTTTTTTTTAAAGCAACGCTAATTTTCACTACCGAAGTATTTCATATTATCTTAACCTCTTTTCAGACTCAAAATACTCCTTTTGATCCTGCTGACTTCCGCTGCTTACGAGTTTATTTTAATACCCCAAGTGCAAGATCTCATCTTAATTTCTGGCTAAGACCATGTCCAAGATAAAGTTTCTTCAATATCCGGTGCTACAAAGACTGCTGTATGAGATAACCTCACCTCGTAAATCAACCTTGTCTTCCTGAATTACTTCCTTTTGAGCTCAGGATCAACTGACTGTTTTGCCGGACTTGCTCGCTAAAAGGTATTTTCTTACGTGTTTCTATACTCTCAGCCACTCATGACAGCTTGTTTATGTTTATGTAGTTCCTAATGCAGATTAATATTAAACTCTAGCGACTAAAAATAGCAGATTTCCAAATTGTGTAGGAGCCGTCTGGATCATATAACCTTCATTCAGCCAGGGTGCCTCACTACTTACTTTCTGAGAGATGTGCACACAAACTGAAATATGGCACTGACTGCTGAAGTGGCATTGATGCCCCTTGGAAAGATGTGGCCTCCTTGGTTACTTGTGTGGCTTTAGGACTTGTAAAATAGTTTTCTCACTCTTTCTTTTGGAAAACTCCACGTTACTTCTTTTCTATCTTTTACTTAGCAAGTACCTTTAACACTAGAAAAGGGGACAGGATTCAAAGTTATTTCATAACCAGCTTTGGTAGTTACTCCTTCAGTGAACAGAGGATTTAAAATAGATATAGAATGGGAAAAACTGAAAGGAGCATTCTGCTATGGAGCTCTTCATGTTATTTATGTGAGTACTTTTTATTTACAGACAAGAGAGGAACAAACAAGCAAAACTCCACACAATCCAAACAAAACCACACAAACTTTCAGGCCCACAACCAATACTTCAGGTATGAAATAAAAGCCATCGCATTTAAGCTAAATACAATGTAAAAAAACTGTGCAGGAGTTCAGTTAATTAGAGTTGGTAGGTAGTTTATACAGACAAACACACAGCCATACCACACATGCCACTGTGACATCTTTGTTCACCAGTCTAAATGTCTCACTGTGTATCCTATCTTGTCTCCATCCTTAGATTATCATAACATTCCTGGCAACATCTACCTTCTAAAGAAAATAACTTTAAACTCCATAGGAAGATTCAGTGACATTTTAGCACGCCTTTATTTGGTTTGCCTCTATCAAAACACTAGGAAAAACAACATATACTCACATTCTTTAACCTTGGTAAGTGAAAGAATGGTCACCCTTAAGAAACTCAGTTCTCTGAAGGTAAATATCCTTAAGTGCTGGAGCACAGGCAGGGCCAGTCAGGAATTATGTGATTCCCTGAGACTGGGCATACTCCATATGCATGCTTGAGCTATCCCAGGCTCTTCAACTGACTGCTCAGAGTGGCAGAATTCTAAGCAGCCTCACATTTTGCAAAATTTGAAATTACTTTAAAAATGGTTTGCTATAGGTTGTTAATGTAGTACCTTTTATTCCCCTAGATGAAATGGAAAATGAACTCCTCTGAATGCAACAATTAATGCACTTTATACTAGGTAAGGAAATGCAGAAATACAGAGTTCAACTCAGCATTTTAATTCAGAAAGCTTCCTGGTTTACTGCTAAAATTCAAATGAATCACAGGCTCGATTCTCTTATTTGTTTTCCATGTAGTTTCATATTAAACAGGACAAGAACACACCCTGAAAAACAGAAGTGTGTAGGAGTAAATAATCATATTTCTTTGCATTAGTTTTAGCACCAGACAGGAAGAACTTGGATGTCCTTGCAGACTCATTTAAAAAAAAAAAAAAAAAAAAGAAGAATGCTCAGGAAAGATGAGTGCAGTTTTGAACTCTTGGAAAAAGACTCATTTTTTTCTTGAGCAAGTCACAGTATTCTTGTGCCTCACTTTTTTCCAGGGATAAAAAGGACACAGGGGAATCTTCTGTCATGATGTTTTATATAATACTCAACACCATGGTTTCCTAGTGTACTACTGGAACACAATTAATCACCATAAATGTCCACTTTAGAGAAGTAGGAGAGAAAGGGAGAAAAAACTGTTGAAACTACGACATTCCAAGTATCTCACTTCTGGCTTCCCCAGACAGCCAGTGGATGCAGGAAGTTAAATGTAGCTGCACATTATACGGAGGAAGAAAGTAAAATAAGCAGTACAAAAAGGAAAACAACTTTTAAGTTACACATTTCTTACACCCTGACCATTAAAGCACATTTTTATTTCAAAGTTCCTTGCAATTAGCTGAATGGCTTCAAAGAAACATTCCTTTTGGGCAAATACATAACCTATTCAGAAAACAGCACTCCCAGTAGCCTGCAAAAATAAGTTACTAAGCAGAAGTAATGAAAGAAGCAGAAAGGCTTGCCAGTTTGAAAATCCACTCTCCTGAGCTTATATTCTACACATTTGTCCATCACACAATTTTCATCTCTCTTAGCAGTAGATACTGTGTCTGATCTCTCACTTTCCCTTGCACCTTAGCTTCTGATCCCCTGCATTCATCCTTGTCACCTCAGTCTTTTCGCTCTAAAACTGGCTGAGTTTAAACAAAAAAAAAAAATCCTGGTAATGCACAACTCAACCATCAGTGGTTAAAAAGAGGTTTTCCTAAAACAGCTGGCTCCTTTAGATCAGAAACCAGCAAAACACAACAAAAACCCCACAGCAAAAACCAAACACTACATCTATGCTGGGTCAGGATGACCTTCTATAAAGCTGAAATACTCAAGAGTAACAATTTTGATATCTGACCAACAGTGGTTAGAATAAAGTTATAAACATATATTTTATCTGGCCTTTCACTTAATTATTACACTGTTAGAGAACATTTTTTTACCTGAATTTTTACTCAATGAGCAAATAGGTTGTCCAAGTTCTTCCTCTCTCCTCCAAGACTACAAAGTGTAATTTTCTTTGAAGCACAATTTTCTTTTTCTCATGAAGATAGCCTTGAAAATGTGAATTTATGTAAACTAGCAGTAAGGTCTAGATGGGACATATTTCAGCGTCCTTGTTCCTAAGCCTTCTGTCAAATGAGTGAAGAGGTAGCTCACACAATCCTTTCTTCTAATACTGTAATGCAAAATACATCACAAATGGTATGTTTTGAATCATAGCTTACATTAACTTCTCCTCAAATCTCCGCTTTTAGATCTTTAACTACAGGGAACAGTAACTATTAAGCTGGATTAGCAGGAAGCCCTAGGAAAAAATTTCCAAGCCT